CATTGTATGATATAGTGCTGGAAAATGAGCCCATCAGGTCAGAAGGCACTCAAAATTTGACTAGGGAAGAGCTGACTCCTCAGAGTAGAGACGACCTTAACAATATGGATACGATAATGCTTCCAGGACCTCCATTGGATGATTGATGGATTGACGCAGTGGCTGCCACAATTGGCTCAGGTATAGCAAAGATCGTGAGGCTGGCCCAAGACTGGACAGTGTTTCGTTCTGCTGTGCCTAGGGTCACTATGAGTCAGTGATGACTCGATGACACCTAACAACAACAACAACAAGATGCTATTACTAAAAACCTAAGAGACAAATGCAGTTATGGTAGTTAAGGTTATGTGTCAACTTGGCTGGCCTGGTTTTGAGTGACTGGGCAGCTGGATGTAGTTATTCCCCATGGTGAGACTGGTAATCTGCTCTATGGTGGAATCTACTGGAGCAGATGAGTAGCTGCCTTATAGATATGGTCTGCGTACTGTATATAAGGAGAAGTGTTCAGAAAGTCTGCATTTTTTGCACGTTTGAATCCCACACTTAAGTCGAGTCTTCATTCAGCAGCCTACTATGTTGTTTGCTGATCTTGGGACTGTTAATGGACTTGAATCAGTAGCCTGTCATGTGCTTTGGTAATACTGGGACTGTGCCCTTTTACTTGTTGACCTTGGGTTTGTCAGCCTTAGCAGCCAGCAGCTGCCTGAGTGAAGAAAACCTCCATCTTCAGTGGGCCGGGAGCAAGAGGCAGAGCTGAAGTCCAAGGTTGAGGGGCTTTCACCCAGCCCCTGGAGCCTGGCACCTGGAACTCAAATTTCTAGCCTCTAGAACTTTAAGACAGTAAACTTCTATTTATTAAAGGCATCCCATTTGTGGTATTTCTGTTAGAGCGGCACGAAGTAACCAAAGCAGCAGTTTGATTACTTTCAATTGTAGAGACCCTGCTGAGGGAAGAAAGGAGAGGGCTGTTTTAGAGGGTCTAATACACAAAAGATATGGATTATTTATTATGAAGTAGGACTAAAGGCATTTGCCATTAAGTAAATAGTAATCTTTTTACAAAATTAACTTGACTACCTAACTCTATTTATCCTCCTACATGTAAAACCAAACTAAAGCCAAATGTGCTCCTGTAGAGTCAAGTCAGATCCGACTCCTAGCGACCCCTCCTTGGGTTTCTGAGGCAGTATCACTACAAAAGTAGATTGCCCAACCTTCCTTCCGAGGAGTGGCTGGTGGGTTGAACCACCAGCCTTCTGGTTAGCAGTCAAATGTCTTAGGCACTACGCTACCAGAGCTCTCTCCTACATAGGTAGGTAATAATATCTCACTTTATGGTCTATATATAACTGTGATGTTTACATTTCTCTTTAAATTATCTGTGGCAAAATTGATTGCAAACAGATTTTCTTTTTCTTCTTACATGGAAAATATATTGTTTGCCTACCATGTGCAAGGCTTGTGTTTATGGAAATGGATTTGGACTATACTTTTCAGGGGCATGCCAAATTATTGTGACAGATATTCAGTGCTCAAAGAAGTTTATAATTGGGTTGCAAGACATATTTAATCAAATACTACTGGGGAAGATATTTATGCAAATACTGTTAGGGCATTTATTTACATACTACTAGGGAATGTGTTTAATCAAATACTACCAAAGAAAACACCTAGAGTCAGAGAGGAATGTGGAGGAGGGAGGATAGTGCTCTGCTTAGCTTATGTAAGGAACTGGTTTTGTGGTGTTTAATTGGACAAGGAGAATTCTTGTTTGTATGTTTTTAAAGGAGTTGGAGAGAAAGGAAGTTGAGAGATGAGCTACAATCCAACCATCATAAGTCTAAATTCTGCCATTAGGTAACAAATACCTTCCAGTTGTTTAGTAGATGTTTCCATGTCACACATTTCGTTATCCCTTCCTGACCTTCAAAATCCGAATAAACCCATAAGGAGCTGAGAATAAGAATAGAATCAAGTTGCCTAAAATCTTTCATCAGCTGTAAAATCCACAGCCATTGAGTCTATTCCAACTCAAAGCAACTCTATAGGACAGAGTAGAACTGCCTCATAGAATTTCCAAGACTGTGATCTTTATGAAAGCAGACTGCCTCATCTTTCTCCCATGGAGTAACTGGTGGGTTTAAATTGCTGACCTTTTGGTTAGCAGCCAAAGGTTTTAACCATTGCACCACTAGAGCTCCGCTGTCAGCTGTGGTCAGAGTATATCTTTGGCCTTTCTAAATAAATGCATGAACTGTGGGGCATATGCAAAGGCTGTTCTTGGTTGCCTTTCCCAGTACATATTTGAGAAGTAATTTAGGCCTTCACCTTCCTCTTTTCATCTGCAAACCTTATGTTTGCTTTCTCTGCACAGAAGCCAGGATTCTCTACATGGGCCCAACAATCTCTTACTAAAATGATTCAATTAAATTACAGTGCACACATGCAACACATTAATGAAATACCTACTGAGTGCCCACATGAAAGGTATTGGTGGGTAGAGCAGGAGGAGAAAAATGACTTCAGCTGTAAATGAAGCTTTTGTAGCATCTTTTACATCTGGTCATTGTATGGTTTACCATTCCTCCTCTTGGCACATTTTCCTTCCTTAACATTACTATTTAGGTATATAGTTGACAACTTGCTAGAGGATCATGCTGGGAAATACAGTGAACTAACTTCTTAACGTCTTCCTTTTCTTAGAAAAGAGCCCAGAACAATTAGAACCTGTGTTCACAGATGGCCAGGAGTACCAGATGTTTTGTCTTTTCTTTCTTTTTTAAAATTTACTCTTTCACTTTTATTTTAGGCAAAGAGGCTCTTTCAAAGTTGTTGCTCCCAAAAGACCACAAAAGGCCTAATGAATATGCTGATGACTTGTCTGTTGAAGTAACTTTAGATTAAGAATTTGAGCAAGAAGTAGATTTTAAAAGGCCTTAGGGTAAAGCTTTATATTTATAAGTTTTAGTAAATGTAAACAGTTTTGACATATATTTAGGGGCAATTGCCATCCTCTAAGTGTTCCCAAATGACACTACATATTTTAAGTTTTAGAATATAAAGATTGAGGGGATAAATCAAACCCAGAGGTTTCTTCCAAAAGCCAGTAGTGTTTAGGTAAATTTGGTATTAATTGTCTATGACACAACTTGATAAAAGTGTTTTTTGATGTGTGTAACTGTTTGTGTGCTGAGAAGATTGTGATGAAAAGAAAAACTTTCTGGGAATCAGGAGATAGGAAAGTTGACCTAATAGGTTCCATAAACTTCAGTTTGGTACTGAGTTTTTATGCTCTGTTTTAGAGTTTTTCACCCATAAAAACCGTGTTTGTTATTCTTCTTAATTCCATTATTTTCTGATTAAACACACTACCATCAAGTTGGTTCTGACTCACAGTGACCCTGTAGGATAGAGTGACCTGCCTCATAGGGTTTCCAAGGTTGTAAATCTTTACAGAAGGAGACTACCTCATATTTCTCCTGTAGAACAGCTGGTGGGTTTGAACTGCCAACCTTTTGGTTAACAGCCAAATGCTTTAACTACTACATTACCCAAAACCAAAAACCAAACTCACTGGCATCGAGTTGATTTAAACTCATAGCGATCCCTGTTGGGTTTCCAAGGCTGTAAATCTTTACAGAAGTATATTGCCTGATCTCTCTTCCATGGAGTGGCTGGTGGGCTTGAGCCACTGACTTTCTGGTTAGCAGCCAAAATGCCTTATCCTCTATGCCACTAGAGCTCTTTCTATACCACCCAGAGGTTCTTTGTTTTCTGATTAAAACCAAACCAACACAAACCCATGGCCATGGAGTCAGATCCGACTCATAGCGAACACTCCTTGGGTTTCTGAGGCAGTATCACTACAGAAGTAGATTGCCCAAACTTCATTCCAAGGAATGGCTGGTGGGTTTGAACCACCAGCCTTCTGGTTAGCAGTCAAATGCCTTAGGCACTATGCCTCCAGAGCTCCTTATTTTCTGATTAGGTATTGCTTATTAAGGAGTTCCTGGATCGTATAAATGGTCAAGCACTTAGCTCCTAACCAAAAGGTTGTTGGTTTGAGTCCACTCAGAGGTTCCTCTAAAGACAGCCATGGTAATCTACTTCTGAAAAAATCAGCCATTGAAAACCCTAGGGAGTGGTTCTATTCTGACACACATGTGGTTGCCATGAGTCAGAATCAGCTGGAAAATAATTGGTTCTTAAGCCCTAGTACTGTGTGAGGAGGTATTTTATATGGCTCATCTCATTGAGTCATGAGCCTTGTGAGTAGTAATAGTTTAACAGCTTCAAAACATGGACTCAGAAGTCTGACACCAGCTTGCTCCACTGAAGCAGTGGTTCCTATGTGCCAGTCTGCAGACTGTGTCTGTCCACTATGAAGTTTCTCCCAGCATATGGGAAGGAAGAATAAATGGATCATGTTGTGGAATTTTCATAAAGTTAAATATAAATACTCCATTATTCCTTTACTCCTTTGTTTAGAAACTAAATATTATTTGGTTTTACTGATAAAGAGAGACAGTGATAAAGAAAGCTTTATGTATGTCCCTGTTCCTCAAAATAAAGCATTTGCAAGTTTGTTGGTTCTTCCCTTCCCCCTCTTTTTCAATCTTTTCACTTGTTTCTAGATAATAAACCTCACAACACCTGACTTAAAAAAACATATATTATCACAACCAAACTCTGTAAACGTGTCCATGCCATTTTTCAGAGCAAAGCTATTAAAATATGAAGGGAAGGAAATTATTTGTTATATTATGTCTAACAGATATCTAGCCACTGTTTAAAGTTTACATTTAATGTAATTTCCTATGTTGTAATTTCATTCTGATTCAGTCTCATCTTTATTGGGCTTTACATGAGATTTTTTTAATGGAACTTTGGACAAGAATCATTCTTTAAGGAAATGTTCTTCATCTGGAATGTTTTCCTTTCCTATCTTTCACTAAAGCCCTTGTTTAAAAATAACCCTGTCATCTGTTGACCATCTTCAGTGCTAACAGTGTTTTACTTTACTACTTCCTTAGTGATACAAATGAAGTTGACATACCACCCAACACTAGAGTTGGCACCAAACGCTATATGCCTCCTGAAGTGTTGGATGAGAGCTTGAATCGAAATCACTTCCAGTCTTATATCATGGCGGACATGTACAGTTTTGGACTCATCCTCTGGGAGGTTGCTAGGAGATGTGTATCAGGAGGTAAGTAACAGTGATATCTTTGAAAAGCTACAGCTAGAGTTACCACAAATCCTTTTCATTATCCATTTGAAGTCAAAGTTGTCATATTGTCCACAAAATCAGGCTTTCTTTTATTTTCCCATTGGTTTCTGTTGATACATTCACATTTCTCTCAGGAAATGAGGTCTGACTTCTCTTACTGTTCCCTATGCTCCACCTACTGCCGATGAGTCTCTTCTAGCCACACTGTCAGCTTCCCCTGCCTTTTCAATGACCACTCTCTTCTACTATATTTATTATCTTGTTTCTTTCTTGACTCTCTCTCAGTAGTTGCTCCATCAAATCACCCTCTTTCCTATTCTTTCAGTCTCTTCCCACTAACCTGCTAGTCTCAATCTGAAATTCCAGTGCCCAACTCCTTTCCACAGATGGCAGAACAGACAGATGTGGGCTGGGATACCCATTCTTTTTTCCTCTATTACTTTACTTTCTATAAAAACTTCCCTATAAAACAGTTTGAACACGTAAGTTTTTATCAAAAAGAAATTACAATGTAAGAATAGTTATTGTCTATGATAAGAATTTTCTATAATCCCCAAAATTCTCTAGTAAGACCAGTTGTAATACATAAGAAGACGTTTTCAAATATTCAGGGGTTGCTTATACTGTTTTGATTGTTGTTGTTGTTGTTATGTGCCGTCAAGTCAGACCCGACTCATAGTGACGCCTCCTTGGGTTTCCAAGGCAGTATCACTACAGAAGTAGATTGCCTCATCTTCCTTCTGAGGAGTGGCTGGTAGATTTGAACTTCCAGCCTTCTGGGTAGCAGTCAAGTGTCTTAGGCACTATGCTACCAGAGCTCCCACTGTTTTGATTACAGCTGCATAATACATCTTCAAGTAGATTGTAACACCTTTTTGGATAAGGAACTGTGTCTAGTCTCTAGTATCTTATACCCAGTATGTTGTTCTGTACATGTTTGTTCTCAAGAAATAACTTGATACTACTGCTCTTCTTCATATTGGCCAGTTTAAATGCCCCTTCAAGGAGCTCTGGTGGCATACTGCCTAAGGCACCTGACTGCTAACCAGAAGGCTGGTGGTTCAAACCCACCAGCCACTCCTCGGAAGGAAGATAGGGCAATCTACTTCCATAGTGATACTGCCTCGGAAACCCAAGGGGGGTCGCTATGAGTCGGGTCCAACTCGATGGCACATAACAACAACAACAATGCCCCTTCATGAAAATATGACCTTCCTCAGGATTCTGAAACTTCAGCATGCACTGAAGTGGCCTGGGCTTATTCCTCGATCTGTATTTTATTATCCGTGAGACCTTGGGCTAGTTACTACATTTTCTTTGTTTCAGTTTTCTCGTCTTAAGAATGAGGTTGATCATGATGTCTATCTCTGATGGTTGTTATGAGTATTCAGTGACTGTAAAGAGAATTAAAGCTGCCTGGCACATAAATAGCACTCACTGTTGCTCTTGCTGTTATTTGACGTCGAGTAGGACCCAACTCATAGTGACCCCTCCTTGGGCTGGAGGCAGTATCACTACGGAAGTAGATTGCCTCATCTTCCTTCTGAGGAGTGGCTGGTGGGTTTGAACTGTCAGCCTTCTGGTTAGCAGTCAAATGCCTTAGGCACTACGCTACCAGAGCTTCTAGCACTATTATTAGTAGTATTAATTCTCATTTTGTTTGTAGGGTCTTAACTGATATTTAGATTCATATTTAAGTGTAAAGAACATACAGTTTACCAACAGGCAGTCACACTTTAGTAGATAGACCATCTTCAATGCTACAATACCTTCTAAACCTGAGCTCTGGGAAATCTGAGATCTTATCATCAATTCAAAATAGATCATGTTCCTTCTAAAGAAAAAGCACTCTTGTGAAGAAGGAAAGTTAATGCAGGAAATGTTCCCTATTGAGATATTGAATAAACCTCCCATCATAAGTATGAAGAAGAAAAGAAATTACACAAATATAAATTAACTATTGGCTGTCCTCTGATGTCATGCTTTATAAAGAGTAAGTAAACCTACTTTTGAATTATACACTTATACTTATTTAAGAGGGAGTTCTGGTGGTATAGTGCCTAAGGCATTTCACTGCTGACCAGAAGGCTGGCGGTTCAAACCCACCAGCCAATCCTCAGAAGGAAGATTGCACAATTTACTTCCATAGAGATATCACCTTGGAAACCCAAGGAGAGATTGATACTAGTTAATAGGTTCATAGAAGTTGGAAGAGTAGTATAGTGCATGATTGATTTTCTAATGATATTATTATTATTTTAAGAGCTTGTTTTACATTCAACGTAACGCATACATTTAGTTTCATTCCCTATTTGCTATGTCCAACCCTAACCCAGTGTCCTCCCCTCCCTACCCTGCAACCCTCCCCCTGGGCCCCTCATAATTATGCACTCCTGTTTGTCCTGCATTTCCTCAGTTTGAATGTTGGTCCTCTGGTGTCCCATGGTCTATTGCTCTAAGAGATGTATTACCATAGAGTATGTGGGTGTGTCATCCTGAGTTGAGTGGTCTGCGTGTACATCTTGTTAACTATTGGGCTGAGAGCCCACCCCTGGGGGTGAGTTTTATTTCAGGCACCGAATGTATTCCAGGGCCATAGTATTGGGAGTCTCACCAGATTTCATCTGACCAGTAATTCTGGTCATTATTGAGTTTTTGGATTTTGTGCCATGTTTTCCCTCCCACTCTATCCAGGATCTCCAGATTTGAACCTTTCCTGAGTGGTTGGCATTGGTAGCCGGGCACCATCTAGTTCTTCTGGCCTTGAGGGCCATCGTGTCCTCCGGCTGATTGCTTCTAAATGCCGTTTTTTTTTGTGTGTGTGTGTGTGTTTTTCTTCACTTCCAACGCTAGGAGACCATTAGCTGTATCTTATATGGCTGCTTGAAAGCTTTTAAGACCCCAATCGCTACTCACCAATATAGGATGTGGAGCAATGCTTTTATGTATTTTGTTGTGCCAATTGAGTCTGGTGCACCCCAGTATTATGGTCCTGAGGTAGCAGATCTATTGGATCTCTCTCCCATAGTGTCGGGATATCTGTGAGGGATTACTCTGTGTCTGTCTTCTATTGTTTCTGTAAGGACTGCAGGTATTGTTTTATTGAACATCTAAAGCAGATAGGGGTAGAATAAGCCTATACTTGAAAGTCGGTAGGCCTTGATAGAAGAAAAATGATTCTGAGCTTAAAACCAACCAAACTTGCCTTATTAAACCAAACTAACTGCCATCAAGTCGATTCCAACTCATAACAACCCTGAGATAGAGTAGAATTTCCCCATAGGTTTTCCAAGGCATGGAAGCAGACTGCCTCATCTTTCTCCTGTGGAGTAACTAGTGGGTTTGAACTGCTGATCTTTTGGTTAGCAGAAGAATGCCTTAACCACTGCGCCACCAGAGCACCTTCCTTATTAAACAGCAGGGTATTAATGTTCTAGGGCCTATGGAGATTTGATAAGGTACTCTGGTGGTTGTTTTTTGTTTTTTTAATGGAGATTTGATATGCACAAAATTGATCCCTTATCTCTGTATAAAATTGATTTTATGGCCTAGGGCAAGTTACTTAACCCCTCAGAGCCAAGTTTTCTCTACTGTGTAGTGTAGATAACCATGCTGTTTCATAAATGTGTTTGTGAGAGTTTAATAAGATAATTTATATAGCACACCTACCTCCATTTCTGGTACATAGTAGGCTATCAACAAATTAGTTTCTCTTCTCTTTACAGGGACGCAAAGCATACAAAATTCTATCCAATAACACTTTCCTTTATAAACATATTGGAAATTCTGGGCATTTCTTTCTTTCAAGTCCAGATACATTTGAGCAGAACAGACATATCTAGATCTAAGTTGTACAAATACTGGAAGGCAAAGAGGGAGGAAAAGGTTTTAGAGTTTAAGACACTGAATGGAAATTTTTGATAACTCAATTACATGATCAGGAGAAAGGAAGAGGCTCTATAGTTCAAAGCATACTGGGGTTAATTCATAATTTTATGTGGTAACTCTGGCTCTGTCGCAGTATATATGCCTGCCCTACCATTCATCCATTAATCCATCCAGACACACCACCATTAAGCACTAAGGAAAATATGAGAAGAATTAAATAAACATGGTTCTTGTTCTCAAGATGTTTCCAGGGCCTTTGGCTTCAGAATTAGGAAGGAGGGAGGAATTGAAATGAAGCTGCATTTCCTATATATCAGGCCCTATGCTTTTATTAGAGATGAAATATAACAAAAGGACATTTTAACATAGATAATACATATAATCGTATCCTAGGTTCTCAGTGGAATTAATAGTGAGTTGAAATGGTCTGAGAAAGCTTTGGAAACTTCTGGACCTTTATGGGCTTGAGTTTACAAGAAAGAGCATAATGCAAACTCTGGATTTTGTAGGAATAAATGCCCAGTGAATTTAATGATGCAGTGTATAATCTGCTGCTCTGGCAGTATCATCTTGTTCAGGTAAAGAGCGATGACATTTTTATAAAAGATGATTTAGGTGCTCCAGAAAGAGTGTTCGAAGTAGCATGCTCTGAAGACAGAAGCTGAGTATAATTGTCATGAGGAGTTAATCAGACAAAGTTAAAAATAAGACACAAGTAGCCTGCTCTTTAAAAGGACAGGAAGAAAATGATACAAAGAAGATACTGGGAAAAGATGAAATAGAATTCAGTGCAATAACCACAATTTTTCAAAAGATGACAGAGGTTTATATTTTAGGGAGCTCTGGTGGTGTAATGCCTAAGATATTTAACTGCTAACCAGAAGGCTGTTGGTTCAAACCCACCAGCCACTCCTCGGAAGGAAGACTGGATAATCTACTTCCATGGAGATACCACCTCAGAAACCCAAGGAGGGGCTGCTATGATTTGGAATGGACTTGACAGCAGTGAGGTGTTTTTTTTTTTTTTTTTTCCTCAAGTAATGTTTCTTTCAGCAATACATATTTTTTCCCCCAATAGTAGCAATATATGCCTTGTAAAAAATTATGACAAATACAGGCACTTTAAAGAAAAAAAAAAGTCAGATAACCTTCTTAAAAAAAACTTCTTAAAAAAAAACTCAGTGCCATTGAGTCCAAGTCTGTTCCGACGTATAGCGACCCCTCCTTGGGTTTCCGAGGCAGTATTGGTATGGAAATAGATTACCCAGTCTTCCTTCTAAGGAGTGACTGGTGGGTTTATACCACAAGTCTTCTGGTTAGCAGTCAAATGCCTTAGGCACTATGCCACACAACCTTAGCACCTGAAAAAAATCATTGCTGATATTATTGGGTATATGTAATTTTCTAAATTTCTAATGTGCAAAAACACATTGTTATGATTAAGCAGCAAAATGTAAATCTGACATATTGCTCAAGTTAGATATAATGCCAGATTTATTATGAGATTCATAATCTCATGCTACAGCAATAGAATCAGCCACATAGTATGCAATATGAGTTCAGATTTGTTTGCCAGATTTGCTTTGAGATTTAATGTAGATTTTTTTTTAATTTGGCATACAAGAGTCTTTGTAAAATTAGAAATAAATTTGAGATTCTCCTTTTACTTAGCTTTCAGAAATTAGAAAAATGGCTCGAACAACTATAGTGATATTTTTTCATTAGACTTTCTTTTCATTAAGCACCAGTTGGGTAAATTTTTTCCAAAATTCATTTTGCTGTTTTTAAAATTGAACTTGTCTTTAATACTGATAGCCCCCGTCATTGATAATAGTTTTGTACATGTGTTAGATTTTTATTTCTATTTCACAGAAAATAATAATAATGATAATAACAAAACATATTTTCAGGTATTGTGGAAGAATACCAGCTTCCCTATCATGATCTAGTGCCCAGTGACCCCTCCTATGAGGACATGAGAGAGATTGTATGTATCAAGAAGCTACGTCCTTCATTCCCCAACCGGTGGAGTAGTGATGAGGTAAGGCTTGAGGTAACCATGTGGTTATGGCGGACTTCTAAACAAACTTTTCTTCTTGTTCCCAAATTCCAGATACTCCTTACAGAAACATTTTGTCTGTCTTTGATGGTGATGGTAATGCTACGTCATTGAAATAATTTATATGTAGCTAAGTGCAGTGCGGTAACTTTTCTGTTTCTTTTTCAATTTTAATTTTGCTGCTTCTACGTGGTTCAAACCCACCAGCCACTCCTCGGAAGGAAGATGGGGCAATCTACTTCCGTAGTGATACTGCCTCGGAAACCCAAGGAGGGGTCGCTATGAGTCGGGTCTGTCTCAACAGCACACAACAACAACAACCAACAGTACACTGAGTTGGTCATTATTTAGCCTGCATAGCAGATGCCATTGTTTCATTTATTTATGATGTCTTGACATTTGCATAATGGCTATAGTTTCCATTTGTGTGTGTGTATGAGTGTTTATTTATTATTATTATTATTATTATTACCCTATGGGCCAGTTCTACTCTGTCCTACAGGGTTACTATGAGTCGAAATTGACTCGACGTCAACAGAACAGGAAATAAAAGTAAGTGACTGTTTTAAAGCATCGTGATTTTTGTCCATGACCATTGCAGATTTTCATATTTTAATGAGCAAAAGTATAAGCATCTGAGGAATTAGGCTTTCTGTATACAGAAATGCTATACATCATCCTACTTGGGATGCCTGACTATGCTGTGGATCTTTGTTAATAAGGATGATGAGAAGTGATTTGAGCAACTCCACATTCAGGTTGGCTATAAGCATATGGTGACAAGATGACAAGATGAAACAGACCTGAAAGGAGCTGCAGAGAAAAAGGCCTTGTCTTTTTTTTTTTTTTTTTGACTCAGTCTCCCCGCCTCCTATTCTATCTTCCTCTCCATCTTCTCTTTTAGTCTTCAGACTTACCCAAACCTGGAGTGGTCTTGCAGGCTAGAATATTCCAAGACTGAGTTTGAGACACTCTCAGGAAAAAATAAAAAAGACTCTTCCCAAACATGTGCCTAAGCCAATGCAAACATGTGGACAATGCACTATTTATAAACTAATTTTTCAGAGTTAAATCCAGTTAAAAATTATTTTGGTTGTTAGTTGTGTGTATAGTCACTGAAGTGTTAAAGAATGCATATGTTTTCTAAAAAACTGTGCAGAAGTCTGGGTGGGAGGCTGAAGTTACATTATTTTGAAGGTGGTTATGGGCAATGGTGTTACTTAAACATCCCTGAACTGAGGACTTCCAATGAAGTGAAATTGTGCCTTTCAACAGGAAGTCTAGTAATTGATGTATGGCAGGAGAGCACAGGGAAAGTTTTAGTGATGAGCAGGTCATTAATCTTGTTAAATAGTGCAGCGTGATGCTATTATTATAGCAGACAGCTGTGATTTACAAATAAGCATGTTTGTTTGAATAGTATGGAATTAGATCAAAGATTTGAACTTACCAAGTGTTATAAACAATCTGGGAGCATGGAGTGGAATGGTATTGTTGTATTTGTTTAATAGTGCCTTGCAAAGACACCCTTCTGTCACCAGCTAAACCACCTGCTTGTTCCCATCATGGAATGACATGAAAATCAATTTTGGTCATATACAATTATGCATGAAAGAGAACTCTTTTCTGGAATGGTCTATCTTCATATTTTGAAGAGTATCTTTGAAAAATATATTCAGATTTCAGAAATGCAGTAAGAGCCAAATGTCAGGTGTCAAAACTTGCAGAAAATACATTTCTCTAATGTTACTCCAGTTTTATTTTTCTCTTCCCACAGTGTCTACGGCAGATGGGAAAACTCATGACAGAGTGCTGGGCTCACAACCCCGCGTCACGGCTGACAGCCCTGCGTGTGAAGAAAACACTGGCCAAAATGTCAGAGTTCCAGGACATTAAACTCTGATTTGAAGGGAAGAGTAAGCCCCTCCTGAGAAAGCCAATAGATACTTTTCTGTTTGTGGGCAGAGCAAAATATGTTAAAGAAGCATCCATGGTACAACCTTGAACATCATCCTGCTTCCCAGTGGGTTCAAACCTCACCTCTCAGGGAGAACCCTGGAAAAAGACAGAGAAGTTCTCAGAAACACAGATTCATCCATGTCTGGTTGTAGGAGGGAGAAATCGCTTGGGTAACTTGTTCAAGATATGATGCATGTTGCTTTCTAAGAAAGCCCTGTATTTTCAGATAGCCTTTTTTTTTTTTAAGATGCTTTAATTTTGCCAAAATAAAACAAATGTAGAAGTTTTAAGGTTTATACTATTATAGTTTTAATAATAACAACAAAAATTCTTCCCAGAAACTCTGCTGGAAAGTAAAATAAAATGTTTGTTTTTGTTTGTTTCCCATTGATAACTATTATTGCACTCTACAAACCAAAAGATAGTCTGTGACGTTGGAGAACTCAGAATGGAACTAACTCATTTTAAAGCCCTTGCCCCCCACCTGCCTCCTCCAACCACTTTGGCCAGCCCACATTAGGGGCACCTCAGCAATGTGAATACACCTGGGTATACATACCACCTGTCTGGAAGCACATTTCAGAATTCCTGCAGGCGACCTTTTGCAGCTTCAGACAATATGGAACAAATGAAGATTTTATGTGACTCTAATAGAAGATGCGCCAATGGTGTTCGTCAGAACCACTTTGTGTTTCTGATTCTGTAAGACATACCTTTCATGGTAAAAATCCCTTTCTTTTCATTAAACACAAACAAAGCTTTTCTTATGTGGAGAGAATTGACCCGTGTATGCGTTTGATCTCTCAAATGAAAGGATCAATATTAAATAAAACTGATATCTGTTGTGTTTAAGACAAGGTGCTTTTAAAACAGGGATAATTTGCTCTGTGTTGCCTACAAGTAAGGGATGAGGATGGGAGCACAAATGGCTTATTTCTTTTATATGCAAAAGAGCCAGTTTCCGAAGCACAAGGAAAAAAGTATGCACACATTGTATTTATACATAAAGAAGGTTTTCTTTTTGTCATTGTCTTTTTCTTCTGTGTGTGAGATGAAGGAAGGAGAGGAAGCATCTGTCAGGTTAGTTTAACTAAATTTTAATTTAAAAATAAATATAACCTCCAGATGAGACTGCAGGAGAGAGTAGAGCCATGAAATACTATGGCTGCTGCGATATATTCTAGAAGATAGCGATCAAGTATGTACATCTTAAACGGTAATTTCACATTTTAGGAAAGCTGACTCAATTTATTTTATTTTCGTGTTATTGAGTTCACTTTTTAATTTATTTTTTTCTTCTTCTCTGTGGCACTTGTGTGAAACATCTCTTCCCATACTCACTTCTATGGGCTTTTAACTTTTGAACAACATGGGTAAAGTTTTTGGGCCAGTGCTTCTTAGCACCAGGGACATAATAAAATTTTAAAGTTGTACACATCCCTCTCTCCTTTATTATTCATTTACATTTCTGTACTGTGATTTTCTTTTGTTTCTTAGAACTTCTGTAGTGTTTAGCAAAGAATTTGAAAATAATCCCTTAGACTTTTTTTTTTTTTTTTTAAGAAAAAAGACGCTCCTTACAGAGTACTCCAGGGGGCAGTGTTTTATAACACATTTTCACCACTCAGTGACTGAAAGATGGAAGGTTTTTGAAAATTTGACAGCTACATGAAAAATGGGAAAATATTTTCCTCACTTCTGAAGTAGGCTTGCAGCTGGTGACTTGTTCATGCAGAAAACATCCTAGAGCAGTGAGGAACTATGAGGTGTGCTTACAATTTGGGAGAATCATAAGGAGAAACAAAAGTCCTCTATATTCAGCATTCACTTCCCAACGCTGTTTTCTCTTGTAACTAAGAAAGAATTTAATAAGCCTTGTTTTTGTTTTTTAAGTACTGAAGACAGTTCCAAATATAACTGCAAGGAGAATATTGCATATATTAATATTAAACTAACCTCACTAGCATTTTAAAAGTTCCTTTTTCTTGTGTCAAATTATTTTATTTGCAGTATCTTAAAAGGAGCTCTGGTAGCATAGTGTCTAAGGCACTTGACTGCTCACCAGAAGGCTGGTGGTTCAAACCCGCCAGCCACTCCTGGGAAGGAAGGTTGGGCAATCCTACTTCCGTAGTGATACTGCCTCGGAAACCCAAGGAGGGGTCGCTATGAGTCGGGCCGACTCGACGGCAAATAACAACAACAACAAAAGGCATATATGATTAGAATTAAGTGTTAAATTGTGAGCACAGGAGGGGAATGCTAAGGCCTCTAGTAAGATCATCTGCGAACAAATTAGCAAACATTGAGGCCAATTTAGGGCATACTTGTGTTCTGAGTTTTCCCCAAATTTAAGTGGGTTGGGCTGACCTCTGGGGGGTGGGGGGGGGACTGTTTTTTGTTTTTTGGTAAGTTTAACAAATAATATAAAATCAGAATATTTTGTGGGGAGTTATTTGAAAGTAAGCTAGATTTACAGGAAGGTGTCAGTTCCAACAATGAATGGAGGAAGTTAAAATAGTACCCAAAATTTCTTCTATATTGCTTGTTTTATTGCTTTGAAAAATAAATAGCTTTCTTTCTAATTCCAAACCTGGTTGACTAACTATAAACATTTCAAAATTATCCCTGAAATACTTAGACCCACTTACCTATTCAATATATTTTAGTAAGATAATCATTTATTTATGAATAGGTTTTTCCTCTGTATCTTACCAAAATACACTTACTTACAAAATACTAAATTGTTCTTAAAGACTACCTAACTCATTTACAAATAATCTTTTTTTTTTTTTTAAATTTCTAGCTGCCCAGAAGTGAATTTTGTTTTATTTGTTTGGTTTTGTTTTTCAGTGGAATAAGTGGGAACCTGGAAATTAATAATTTAGTTGGTTGCTTACTTTTGGGATTATTTCTAAAATATTAGTTGTTAGATAATATAAATTTTGTATGCTGAGATGTTCAGGTTTATAGTTTATGTGTGTATATATTATATAAATATATATGTATATATAAATATTATGTTCAGTTTGGAGTCTGGCACAACTCCATTATGTGGATTAGAGAGTAAAATATTATGGATGATAAAGTACTAAATGAAACATATTTATTTATGAAAATGTGTAGATTGTTAAATTGCAAGCTGCAGTTTTTTGAACATTGTGAGGAGACAAACATTTGACCTCTGGCAAAGCACAGCTCAAAAATCACTAGTGACCATTCTTTCTATTCCCAAGACATAAAAGCTTTTTAGGAAAAAAAAAAAAGATTTCATTTACAGGGAATTCTTTGATGCATTTCAATTGGTGTGTATTCAAGTATAGCAGGTACTTAATGATGGCCGTATTTGATGTTCTAGAGTCATGCATATTCCATAGAAGATAAGGTGTCTTATGTGTTGGTCTCCTTTAGTTCTTTGTAGGTGGAAAGGCAGTAAAAGGAGTACAATTTTTAAAAATCTAAGTATGCTTAGTAGTTCTATCTCCTTGAAAATAAAGGAAACCTAAGTCACAGCCGTGGGAGTGAAAAACCCGCATCAGAAGTGATTTAGTTTAGCGATTATTATTTCTCCTGAAAAAAAAAAAAAAAAAACAATGCCCTATCTTTGGGAGAAAAGTTCACAATGTATAAGGGGTTTCGTTGTCTTGTTTGTTTCAAAAGAAAACTCATTTGTGTTCTTTTGGGGAACCAGTGCCTTATTGAATTTGTATATACTGTAATTATTCAGGACTAGGGAACAAGAAATTGTATTGTATTTGTAACAAATTGTATATGGCTTTGTTTTAACATTCCCCCCAAATAAAATGGTTCATTCTCTCTTTGGAAAAAAACATGTCTGTTATCTTGTAGTTGTGCCCCCCCCCCTCCACCCCTTCTCTCTCTTTGGAAATTTCACATTGTAACAGGCAGGAAGGCAGAAAAGAGGAGGTGGATACATGCAAATTTGAAACATTTGGTGGCAGGAGGGCCAGGGAAATGATCTGAAGGCTTCTATTTTGTCTGTAAAGAGGAGGCACAGTCATCTGCTTAGTGAGGGCAAAGGCAAGAAAGTCAGCTGTTTGAGAGATGTGAAAAATGAGGACTTGCTAGAGAAACGTAGCCAGATGGTTATGGGCAACACTGAGGGCCCATTAAGATTAATAATACTAAGTATGTGACAGTGGTCAAGAGGGTGGACTCTGGACTGCCTGTGTTTGAACCCATCTCACTTATTCCCTCGGTTTCTTCCCCTGGATGATAAGAAGAATATTAATATCTACCCCACTGAATTGTTCTTCAGATGAAATGAACTAAACACTCAACTATTATTAAGTTTAGCTACTATTATATATTCATAGTGATGTCTTTTCTGTGTGGTTTTGTGGTTTTATTTTCTTATCAGCCAACCAAATATAGGCAAAGATAGAGACAATTGGATTCACTGAAGGTTGGCATTTTATCAGCCTTATACAGAATTTAAAAAACAAACCCATTGCCGTCAAGCCAATTCTGGCTCATAGTGACCCTGTAGGACAGAGTAGAACTGCCCCATAGGGTTTCCAATGTTGTAAATCTTTACAGAAACAGACTGCCTTCTTTCTCCCACAGAGCAGCTAGTGGGTTTGAACCACCAACCTTTTGGTTAGGAGCCAAGTGCTTTAACCATTGTGTCATCAGGGCTCCACTAATGCGCCATGGATCATGGAAAATAAAAATTATTTTTTATTAAGGGAATAGATGATGTGGACAAGAGTAGGGCAGGCACTAAAGAGAGGAGTAAGCTCTTACAGATTGAATTGTGTTCCCCTCGAATATGTGTTGGGATCCTGACCCTCTACCAAACCAAAAACTACTGCCCTTGAGTCTATTCTGACTCATAGCGATCCCTGTTGGGTTTCCAAGGTGGTGAATCTTTACGGAAGTAGATTGCCCTGTCTTCCTTCCACAGAGTGGCTGGTGGGTTTGAAC